ACCCCCTGGCTCTGCCCTCAGCTGTCACCGGGTGCCAGCAGGGTATGGACACATGGTGCACGTGTGTCACCTCTGATCCCCCACCGGGGATGCTGGAGCCATCATTCCCCCATCATTCCCCCACCATTCCCCCACCATTCCCCCATCATTCCCACATCATTTCCCCATCATTCCCACATCACTTCCCCATCATTCCCCCGGCTTGTGGCAGGCACTGGACATGAGTACCGAACCCTGTGGTCAGTGGTGTGGATGGAGGTGCTTTCCTGGAGCTAGAGCATGGAAAGTGGACTAATAGCACACCCTGTASCATGCCCCAGCTACCAAATTCCCCTTCTCGTCCATCTCCCAGCCCATAAAACGTCACTGGACCCACTGAGGTGGTTTCTCAGAGCTGGGTGAGAAGGTGTGTGGAGGTTCCCTTGGGTGAAGGGTGTCTCCTGGTGAGCAGCACCCCCAAGGTGGGACATTTGGGAACAAGGTGGGTTTAGCACTCCATGAGCCCAGGGCAGCCAGAGGGTGTGAGCCCATTGCCCCAGCCCCTGGGCCAGTTTTCCAGCGTGGTGTGAGCCTCAGCCTCCCACCCTGTCTCCCTTTCCACCAGCACTTGCAGAGCACTGGCGTGGCCGTGGGGTYCAGGTCACAGCGTGATCGTCACAGCCACCCTGACGTGACAGGATCTGGGGGTAAATATTAGTAYGAAGTGAAGGGCTGTGTACATATTTTCTCCCTGCAAGGTAATGCTGAAATTCTCTGCTCCTTTTTCAACAAGCTGCTGGAAAAAACAGCCCCATTTTAGCACCCTCTGGCCACTGCTGGCCCTGGCTACTGTCAGCTCATCGTGCAAAGGTCTGGGAGCTTTGGGTCCCCACTGCAGCTTCCCCACTCCAGAGCTGAGTCCCTTTGCTCGTGATTTCCCAGCGGATGTTTCCCATCTGGAGCAGAGCTCCAGGCTTTGCTGACTGCTCACTTCCTTCTGGAAGTGTGTCCAGGATGTGGCAGAGACTCTGAGGATGGCTTGTTAATCACATTAACAGCACCAAGTGGTTTTTTACCCCACAAGAAAAGACACAGCAGGAGAAGGCAGATTGAACCAGGCAGTTATTCCCCTCCCCACACCAGCAGGCCTCTGGATTCCTTTTTTGTGGCCATGGCTGGTTTGGCTTGGTTTGGTGAAGCTGTAGGGAAAGAAAAAGGTTCCCCTTGCTTGGCCACCCTTGTCATTGTGGCCTGGGGACTCCAGAACAGCTCAAGTACCTGACCATGCAAAAACAACACCACTCAACTGCTGCTTTTTCCAGCATGCAGGGCAGKAGAACATCATTGCTGCCCTCAGCCCAACAGGAGAGAAATCAGCCCCAGACTCCCCAAGACCCTGAGCAGCCTCCAAGGCACCAATTTCTGCCCTCCTCCCTCTCACAACTGTGTAACCCCCCATTCTCAATCCTAAACTGAGATTACTCCCTTTTAAATTACTTGTGGCCCCCAAAAGACCGTTCTGTACTTGGAGTAAAGAGGAGTGCAATAAACAGGATTGCTTGGATTTGTTTTCCAAGCCTCGTATCCCACGGAAACAAGGCTTATGGGGCCATAGCATGAGTTTGTCTGTTTGTCCATCCATCTTCTGCCAACAGCTTTGAAAAGGTTGGCCAGTGTCAACTGAATTTGAGAGGGCCTGTTTTGCAAACAAGGGAACTGGAACACCCAGGGGGGGAAACCACAAAGTGACCCAGCCCTGCTGGGACCTGTCCCACTGCAATGTGATCCAGCCTCGGCRAGAGGCACAGGAGGAGCCGCCAGGGACTGAGGCGTGGAAAACTGGGCTTCTGCTGCTCAGGGAGCTGTTTGTTATTTTTACAAGCTGGGAACAATCTCTCAGTCCTTGGTGGTCAYGGTTGCTGCATGCTGTGGCCATCAGCAGGCATTTTGGGCTCCTGGTCCAGGGAGAGCCCATGTAGGTTTGCACGACATACCTGGAAGCCGAGAGAAGGAGGAGGAGCAAATCTTTCCCTGCCCACCTAAAATGCCTCAGCCACCTCCACCACCCTTGGTGGGCACATCCCTTCCCCTTGCTACTGATTTCCATCCAAAAATCTCCCTTAGAGTAAGCAGGAACCCCCAGACCCATCCAGCCATGGGGCAGCCCCCCGACACCCCCTCAACTTGCATCACCCCCCCCTCAGAAAGAAACCAAGCAGAGCTGGAGGGGTTTGATTGATTTATCCACTGAAGATACAAGTTTGGGTTTAATAACACCATTTTGTCYGGTTACAAACATACTAAAAACCTACAAAAAAGAAAAAAAACGAGTTACACCCAGATACACGGAACGCAGGTATAAAACCAGCACGGAAGCGCCGAGGAACACGAACATGAACAGGATCCGCAGCAGGAACAGGAAAGACACAGGAGTTACATCAGACCACGCCAGCTCACGCCTGTGGGTCACGCTGGGACTGGTTCAGACATACTAACGATTAGAGACAACTTCAGCCACGGAAAATAATCAGCGCCGCAGCCTGGTGAAGAGGTCGGACCCAGGCGGGTGGTTTTGTCCCTCCCTTCCCCTAAGCCGGTCCGAGGTCACAGGTTTCCCTTTTATCCCTCTGTCTGGCATCGATGGTGCTGGCCCCRAGCAGCCCTTGCTCCCACATCCCCGCACCAGGGCAGTTTCCCCAGGGGCAGGGAAGGCTGAGCGCTGGAGCCAAAGTCCGGCCAGGTGACATCTGAGTCGCTGGGCACCCCCCAGAGCAGAAGGAGATGCTGTGACCCCTTTCCTGGGACAGAGCGGCAGAGATGCGAGAGGACTCCCCCAGGAGAGCTCATGGCCCAGCTGCCTTGGGGATTTGTCACCCCCCAAGACAAGATGAGGCTGGTGGCACAGGGCCTGTAAGGGTTCTGGTGGTGCTGGGGGGTGTCTCTAACTGGGTGCCTGCAGAGCTAAACCTGCTGTGGATGTTGGCCACAGCAGGGGGAGACAGGCTGGGTGGGACCTGTGCCCCATCCCAAYGCACTTCTTCCCATTCCCTCCAGTGCTCAGCTCCCTCTGAACAAAGGTTGAGCTTTATTAAAGGACAAGAGTTGGTTGATGTGAGCGGGTGTTGCCACAAAAAGCCAGGACGAGGTGCTCCAGGGGGACCCTGCCCCAGAGACACCCCAATCCTCCCTTCTCAGCGTTTTTCTGCCTCTGCCAGGGGACACAAAGGCTTTCCACCCAGATAACAGCTCCAAGCCCAGCCCTGATGACAATGCCGAGGTGCTGGCAGGGCCTGGGGGACACAGGGGTCTTCCACAGGACAGGAGAGAGACCAGCCAGCCCCCAACACGTGTTGGCATCATGTCCWGAGCCCCAGCTTCTTACCCATGAATTTTGGAGAAAAGACTTTGCAAGTYGGTCCCAACCCGCCACCACCAAGGAGAGCAGAGGTCAGCCCAAAGTGCCCTTAGCTCAGGGAGTGAAATGTCGAGCTCCAGAGAGTAAGATCTGAAGAAAACATGGGTAAAGGGGCTGTGATGGGATCAGGGGGGAGCAGTGTGCTGGCAGTGACAGGGAATGGCTGTGCACGGGTGTGTGTGCCAGAGAGCCACGCGCAGAGCCAGGACACGGCCCCCGTTCTGCTCTTCCACCTGGCCTTTATCAGCCCTGTCACTCTGGAATGGTACTTTTTCCTCATTCTGTTGATTTTCATCYCTCCCCAGATGAGAATGTTCCTGGGTTTGAGCAATGCCTCCTCAGCTGAGGGCGGCAAAGAGGGGGCGTTTGCTTTATCTCCATCTCCTCCCCTGCCGAGCYCTGCCCTGGCCGCCCTCCTGCTTCATGCTACTTCCTACGAAGCTGATAAAAATAAACATGTTTTTGTTTGCATCTCTGGGACTGGCCYGCAATTTGGCTGATGGGGGGTGGAGGGTGCTCCTCAAGGGACAGCAGCTGCACACATCTGGATCTGCTTTAGGAAAATGTGCCTGGAAAAAAAAAAAAAAAAAACCCAAGCCCAGCACACGCATGCGTGGGTGCACGAGGCTGTGGGTCAGCTCGTTCTAGGGATGTAAAAAGAGAAAGGATAAACCAAGAATCGTTAAAAGGGGAGGTGGGAGGACGTCCCTGCTGCTCCCCAAAAGCCAAGACACGAGGATAGGTCAGGTATGAMCACAAGAGAATTTCCAGATGCTCCCAAGTGACATCTCTGCAGACTGGGCACCCGGTTTTGATTGTGGGAAGGGAGGGGGAAGGGTTTGCACTGCAAAAATAAAATTCCCACCTGGAGATTATTAACCTCAGAGGTCAATGTGCAAATTTTGTCWAAAGATGAAACGTCCCTGTACGGAAACACCCCTGGCCCAGCACCGTCAGAGCACAGGGAGTACGTGAACTCCTCAGAAATATGTGCTGCTGGCCTCGAGGCCTTGGCAGGAGACAGCGGAGCCGTGCTCGTCAGAGTCCCGTGATGTGCACACACACAAACATCATCTAACAGTCTTGATCCWAGAGATCCCTCTCCAGCCCTGCACTGGAGGGGAGTCAATGGCTGAACAGGTTTTCCCCAGCCATCCCCACCCCAGGCAGCAGCAGCCCTTTGAGGGATGGAGCCGCTGACACTCGAGGGATGAGCAGCCACTGTGACAGTCCAGTGGCAGCTGGGGACAGCACTGTTGGCCCCTTCCCCAGGGCAGGCTGTTGGGCTGAATTTTGGGGGTGCTGACTCGAAATGAGAGTCCACCCCATGAGCAAAGCAGCATCACTTGTCACCCTGTGCCTGTCCCTTCCTTCACAGCCCCCTGGACCCTGCCATGCCCAGGACAGCCCTGCCCTGAGCTGTTTTTGTCACCCAACTCTCCACAGATGCCCAGGACATGCCATTGCTCCTCTCCATCAGTTTTAACATGGGATGTAGGAAGGAAAGAACTGCAAGGCCAGAGTGGCTGTAGTGACATTGTTGGGGTCCTGGGGCTATTTTGGGATTAACCCTCCCTCTGGGGCTATTTTGGGGTTAACCCTCCCTCTGGGGCTATTTTGGGGTTAACCCTCCCTCTGGGGCTATTTTGGGATTAACCCTCCCTCTGGGGCTCTCCAGGAAGGTGAGGGAGTGCTGGGAAATGCAGTCAATAGGTTTAGAGCCCTCTCCAAATCTGCTTTGCCCAGAGCCAGCGCAGGGGTGATGGCACTCGTGGCTCCTCTGACAGAGCYCTCCAAGGAGGGGTGTGCTCACCCAGACACTCCTGCCCTGCTGCTTTGAGCTGCAGTCCTGGGGTCACTTCCCAGCCGAGGGCTGTGCCAACATCTCGGCACCAAGGAACGGGCAGGACTGAGGTCAGGGGCATTGCCCCTCAGATCTTGAGCAGGAACCTGCTGTCACAACGGGAAGGGGGCAAAAACCCACTGGGAATTTGTGTGGGAGCAGGAATGTGGTGGTGGCTGTCACCCCCTCAGCAGGGACAGGGGTTTGGGTCAAAGCAGATCCTTGGCACGGAAGCAAAACACCAGAAGCAGGACTAAACCCTGCTCCTGGGGGTGACTGAAAGCACAGGTAAGCAAAGCAGCAGTTTGTCTGTCTGCTCTGGAGGAGGGTGGTCAGCACTGCAGAGTGACCGCTGTCCCCTCCAGCAGTGTCCCCATGGTGGGGGGATGTCCCCAAGCTGGCCGTGGGGATCCCAGCTGGAACCGTGGGCTTGTTGCCTGTCCAGCTGGCATCCAGGAGAGGAGCTGGTCTCTCTCAGGAAGCTGCCAGCTCTCCAGGACTGCAGTGGAGCGAGGCCAGAGGAAATCTCAGAAGGGAACCCTCCTCCCACTTCAACAGATAACATTGCCCTTAATGCTAGAGCTCTAAAAATAGCAGAGGCCTTTAGGGAAATATTGGGTGGCAAGGATTCCAAAGCTTCCCAGCACATCTGACATTTCATCCTCAGTGCTTTGCCAATCAGTTCCCAGAAATCCCATAAATCCAACCACATGAGGGCAGGAAGCAACGAGGCTGCTCTTCCTCTCTTTTTTGTAATTGCAGGGGAAACTGAGGCACAGACCAGGCAGGCTCACCTGGAGGGAGGTTCAGGAGGGAGGGATGGGTGCTTTGAACCCTGCAGCCACGTTTTGGGGGGTGTGGGAGAAGCCTTTGTCAGGCACAGGCAGGAGCACCGCTGTCCCCAGGGAGGACACAGCTCCTGCGTGGGCTGATTTCTACCAGGCACTTTATCTGGAGGAACCCAGTTTCACCAAGAGGGCAGGAATATGTTCTATACAAGGTGTTTATTAATTTTAACAGAGAAGGGACCTTTTCTCACGCCCAGAAATCCCTCCTGATAGCGTCCATGCCTTTTTTCCCCCTCCTGATCACAGCCTGAGCCCCCTTCTCAGCGAGAGGGCAGAGTTGGACAGACAGACCTAYGCACAYCAGCTCCCAGGGCAGTGTGCCACCYGAGCCCATCCTCAGGGAGCTGAGGGGCAGTGGGTGGACTCCCCAGCTCCCTACAAACGGCACAGGGATCCCACCTACACGCCACGCTCTGARCCACGAGGGGAGGCAGCCCAAAGGCATCCCCTCCTTCCTTCTCTCTCGCACCGTGGGAGCACTTCTCTCCCACCCCAGGAGGGTTTGCAGCAGCCAGCCAAGGACAGGGACTGTGGGGGACAGGGCAGGTGAGTGACTCTGGCTGTCAGCCCTGCCAGGTGATACAGAAAGTGCAAAGCAAAGCGTTCTCGGTGCCAGCCGGGGGTCTCTGTACGTGCCCCCAAAAGCCAGGTTTGCCCAGGGGCTCCGAAGGGGAAACAAGGGTTGTGCTGTTCGTCAGTGAACAGGGCAGCAGCACTGTGCAAGGGGCTTTGAGATGGTGCAGGGGAGTGCAGGCTTTGGGAGGTGGTGATGGACGGGCCAGGACAGGAAGATGGAGCCAACAACCAACGCTCTCCCCTCGCCCTCTGCATCCCCTTCCAGCRTCCCCTGCGACTGCTTCACCCCAACCCACCCACACCCTTCATGGTTCTGTGGCTTTTTGGCTTATTTAGTTTGTTTTTAAAACCCCGTGGAGATCAAATTGTGACTTGGCAGCTGACAGAGCCRGCCCTACCGGGCTCCCCAAACTGAGCAAAGATCTTGAGAAGASACCAGAGTGAAGTCCTGGGGTGAGCAAAGCCCTCCCTGCCCCTCTGGTGGCCCCCTGGGTGCTCACAGGGTGGCGGTGGGGTACTGAGCCCAGCCCACCTCCTTGTAGGCTGCTGTCACATGGGTGTAGATGAGGGTTTTCATCTTGGTCCAGGCTCCGTGCGCCTCGGGGGTGAAGTCGTTGGGGCACACCTCAGCAATGACCTCCAGCATCACACCGGTGAGTTTCTGAGGGGAGGCAGACAGCAGGTCAGGGGTGAGGAACGCTCCAGGGAGCTGCTCACAGCAAATTTAGCTTTTTCCTATGTAAAAAACTGAATCCTGGTGCTGTCTGCAGGACACACAGATACCCTGTGTGACATCTGGAGTGACATCWGCTCTGCTGACAGCCCTGGGAGCAGACAGGGCAGGTAACCAGGGCACAGACCCAGGCATGAGAGGGAGCTGCTCGCAGGTTGAGGCATCTCCCCAGTCTGGACACCTCAAATTATCTACAGAATCACAGAATATTCCAAGTTGGATGGGACCCATACGGGTCATCCAGTCCAACTCTTCAGTGAATATCCAAATGGGGATCAGACCTGTAATCTGCTGTTACAAGCTCTAACAAGCTAATTAGCYAACGAATTTAGTTCCCTGCTATCATAATTTCTAAAAGAAGAGACACAGCCTCAAACACGCTGGAGGGGCTGCAAGCAGGACACAGACAGRTGGGTTTCCCCGGGGAAGGAGAAGTTTCCCTCTCTGGCACTGGCTGTGTGTGGGAATGGTGGGACAATGTCACAGTGGGACACTCCAGCAGCGTGGGGAGCAGCCCCCACACCCAGCCAAGGACAGGCAGCACCGGCTCACCACAGCTCCTGCCCTCTTCCTAAAGCGTCCCAAAGATTATTTTCCTCCCATCCTTTACCTTAAAGTAGATTGGCTCCACTTTGTGCTTGAGGGCGTGGGCCTTGCCCACCAGGGCCAGGATGGAGGAGACCTTTTCGGAGTCGTTGAGGTTCTCCACCACGGTGTTGATGGCCCCCATGACCCTCCGAGCGTGTTTGCGCAGCTGCAAGCTCCTCTCCATCTCCAGCGGGTCCTCCATGTGCTTGAACTGGCTGAAGTACTGCTTGGCCGAGGGGAAGTTCACAAAAAACCTTCCAGAAAGAGCAGACACGARATGCCATCAGGAGGGGGAGAGCAGGCTGAGGGGTTAAAGCAAAGCACGGGGGGATGGAGGCGCTGGAAGGCTCCCCCTGCGTCTCACGCAGCCAGGGCTGGTTTTCCTTTCCAATTCCCCAGGAGCTGCAGCATTCAGCTGTCTGAAAAGCAGCAGGTTGATGCCTTTCTCCCTGCCCCCATCTGCTGCAAGGGCATCACAGCTGGATATTCATCTACAAAGCACAGGCGAGACAGAGTTCTGGATGCCCAGAGATGCCACCCAGGCGCGCCAGATGCTGGATGTGTGCCCATGTACATCAAAACATCACGTCCTKCCTCACAGAGCTGGAGATGAGCATGAAAACCTCCCTTAATGCCACCCAGCCTCTCCCTGCCCCTTTTCSTCAGTGCCACAGCAGCTTCCTGGCCCCATGGGTTTTATTTCTGCATTGSCACCCAGAACARTCTCCCCTTGTCCAGGTTGCCCCAYCTTTCATGGATCAGCCCCACCAGTGTCTCCAGCAGCACCCAAGCCCTGAGCTGATGTCACTGCTCATCTGTGACATTTTTGCCAGCACAAAGACACCCCAAACATTCACCAGCCCCTCTGGGGGAAGTCTAGGGACCCTCTTTTCTGCAGGATTAAACCAACCCCAATGAAATGCTGCTGGAAGAAATGAAGTTGTGGTGGCAGCTGGTGTGATGAGGTGGAGGGGACAAGGTGACAGGGTGCAGGGCTGGAGCCACCAATGCCAACACCACCATGGCAGCATTGCAGCTGGGGCTGACACCTGAGTCACATCAACCACTCCCTTCCACCTAATTCATGCAGGAGAGAGCCACGTCAGTGTGTGCTCCTTGCTTTCACCCAGCTCCCTCCCTCCCACGGGGCTCTCCCTGGCTCCTGGCCTGCTGAAGGAAGCTCAGGAGGTGGCAGAGTGCTCCCAGGCTGTCCCCCATCCTTCCTGGCTCCAGACAGACTGCCCCCTCCCCTCCCTCACCCCCTTCCCAAGCACCATCCCAAACCACAGGAAACATGAACCCATCGCACCTCTTTCTCCAACCATCACCACACTTCTCTCCAGAACCAGGTGGGATTCTCTTCCCCACTCACCACTCCATGAATAATCACAATATTGAGTACCAGGCTCCTTTACCATTTTGTTATCCTCCTTTCCCCCCCCTCCCTTCCTTCCCCCGCTCCCTTGGCTTGTGAAAGCTTGGGGGCATTGCCAAGGAAGCGGCGTGAAGCAGCGCCTGGAGTGCACCACCGCTTCTGTTGCTTCCCCAAGGCATCTGGGATTCATCAGATGGCCCAAAATAGGTTTTGGAGGTGTGAAGAGTGTGTGGCAGAAAGGGTGGGGGAGGAAGGAAGGTGGAAGGGGGAGACAAGGTGTTGCTTTTAAAACCCAGAGGGGACCCAAGACAAAACTCCTCTTGTTGTTGTGCAGCCGCCTCCCCCCGGCACGGCTCCTCCTGRCACATCTGGTCCCTGTTGGGAGAAATCATTGCCAGGCCTGGCTGTCTCCAGTCCTGCCACCACAGAGATGCTCAGTGCTTCAGCTCAGAGCTGTCAGAGAGGTGGCTGGGGGATAGAGCTGGCCAGGGCCCCATGGATAATATCATTCCCAGGATATAAGGCTTCTGCCTTGGGCATTTCCACACAGAAGGGCAAATGTTCCAYTCTGGTTTAAGGGGACTGTTTTTTCCAGCTGGACTCTGCATCCCTCTGCCTCCATCCCATCCCTCCCCACCTCTACTCAAGCTGTTGCAGCTCCAGTCACCCAGCAAAGCCCTCCAGCTCTGACAGGGATCATCATTAAGGGTTTTACCATCCCTGCTGGTGGATCTTTCCCCCTAATAGGCATCCCCCAAAGCACTGGGAGCAAGGGATGTTGCTGGAAGAAGGACCTGCTGCCTCAGCTCTGAACCCCAAACCATACAGCTGAAAAGCTGTATTTATCTCAGCTGAARGGCAGGATGTTGTAAAGACATGGGAAATGAGCTGAGAACAATTCCTGGACTGAGCCAGAAAGGGAATAGCAAGGGGGGACTGAGCTCTGCATCAGCAGGAATTACAGTGTGTCCCCACCAAGAGAAGGCCAAAAGGAGACCTTGGGACCATCAACTCCACCCCTACCCACCTTTGGCCAGACATGCCAGCAGCAAAAACTGGTTAAACCCCCAAAATACACCAACCTGGGTGAGAGCAGACTCATGAAGGCTCCAAATATTTTGTTCCCAACCTTTCCCAGCTTTGCAGACCCTCAAGCTGATACCCCCATAGGAGCTGAGGGTGTAAAACCAGCAAATGCTCAGCTCATGTGCTCAGTCCTGGATTTCTGTGCTGGAGAACTGAAACAGAGGACCCCAAACCCTCTTTGGTACAAAGAAACCCCTGGATGGCCAGAGACCTTCAGCCACTTCTCCTCRGAGAGCAGCAGGCGCCTGCAGCAAGAACTTCTGCCTGGAGCAAATATTTGAGCTGTCAAACCACAAAGAAGAGGGAAGGAGGCTCACTCAGTGGTAGTTGTTAATAAACAGAGAAGATTAATTTAACACAAAGGTTAAATATAACCAGAGGAAAGGAGAAGGAAAAAAAAAAAAAAGAAGAAATAAAATAACTTCAACAATAGTGAGGTAGAAGAGGTGTCAGTTGGGGTTTTTCCATCTACAGAAAATTTTGAGAGCTCAAACCTCTCAGGGTCTGGAATTTTTTTGGATCATTATGCATGTGTGTGCGTGTGGTTTGGGCTCTTTTTCTCCATCAGAGTCATTAAAAGATGATATTTACCATTGCATATCACACAAAATGATGATTGATAGGAACCAGATGCCTGCATACCAATCTCATTAAATTTCTTTTTAAGCGATTCCATTCTGCACCCGCTAATTTGTACCCTGCCAGCTACATCTGGACCCAGCGGACAGGATGTCAGGATTGCTTTTCCTCTCTCTTTTGCCCTTATAACAACTTTAAGGACACAGCCATTCCCAGTAGCAGAGCCAAAGGAAATAATTAAGGTGCAAACCCACTGCAGTTACTGGAAACCTGTTTTCTGTTAGGGAAGAGCGGTGTCTCCCCCATCTCCCCCACCTTCCTCCCTCTCCCCAGAGCATGCCCTTGTGGAGGAAATCTCCAAACCAAATCTTCCCTCCCCAGCTGGGAAGAGGATGCTGGGATGGTGCTCCATTTCCCCAAGCACCTGAATCCTTGACACTTCACTTACCCTGTTTGCAAACTTGGAGGGTGAAAATGTTCATGAGCCCTCAGATCTGAACCCCCAGCCAGCACTTGGAGAGTGCTTTTTTCCTCGATTTCCACAGGATCATTTAGGCTGGAAGAAGCCTTTAAGATCACCAAGCCCAACTCTTAACCCAGCACCACCAAGCCCAGCACTGAAACATGTCCCCAAGTGCCACATCTCCACATCTCTCCAATCCCTCCAGGGTTGGTGACTCAAYCTACCGATGCTTTCATGTTTTCTCTCGCCTCGTCCCTCTACGTGGGAGAAACTCTAAGGCAGCCTGGAGCCTCTYGGAGTCCCTTTTCAAACCTCTCCTTGCAACTCCTCTCCTCGCTCGGGTGCCCACAAAGCAGCTGATAGATAATGGGTAGGCAGGTGGTGTGTGATGCTGCTATTTATTTTGCCTTATGAGGGCTGCCTCACCGCTTYGCCTGCACGTTCCCCTTGCTTTTTCCAGCCACCTGTAGCCCACCATCCCCTTCTCAGGCTGGGGAAAGGCTGCTGGGTGCTCCCCTAGAGCTCCCAGACCAAGGGGAGAGAGGTGTCAGCAGTGCCAGTGTCACAGCTCAGCACGACAKAAAAAGGAAAAGCTAACAGGTGAGAAGAGGATGGTGCTCTGTCTGCTCCTGTGTCCTCTCTCTGAAAGCTCATGGACAGGTGGAGATGGTGGTGGGTGTCCAGCTCTGTCAGGAGAGGGCCGGAGGGAAAAGGGCCAAGCCCCCCATCCAGGCACTAATGCTAAATTCAACTTCTACAGCTGAGGAGATGTGTGGCTGGACTTCCTCCAGGTGAGCCCACGCCCYGCTGCAAAGCCTTGGGAACGGAAACCAGCACAACACTGAGCCATGCCTGGAGGCTGTAATGTCCCCATGCTCAAGGGCASAGGGGTGAGGACACCTCAGTGAGGCTGGGAGTGAACCCAGCAGCAAATGCGACACCAGATACATCGGACATAAGCAAACAATCCCAGGGTCACGTCCTGCCCACTTCTGTGCGCACAACTCAGAACTCCAAGTCCTCATTGCTGTTGTTTTCTCCTACCACATGTGTGGATTCAGCCCAAAGCCTCTTGGTTGCATGGGTGGACATTTAGGGTCGGGGCAAGGACAGATTTCATCAGATGAGTGAATCAATAGAGCTAAAGTGGCTTTCCCACAAGTCTCCGGATACCTACCGCCCTTGGGGCTGGAAAAAACACCTGGCTGGGTAGGGAGGCAGGGAACACACATCCACAAGGATGCAGTCCGTGTCCCACCAAAGCTGTGTTTTACCTGTGTCCATCACAGCCTCTCCCATGGCCATTTCCAGCAGCCCYGGCTCTGCGCTGCCTGTGCCCGGTCAGCATCACCAACCAGCCGGCTCTCCGCGTTTCCCAGGCACCCCGAGCGCTGTCAGCCTGRCCAGGGCTGTCCTGACATTTCGCCGGCGTTAATGAGCCCTGAAGCTCCGCAGACGGGCGCTCGCCGAGCCGGTCCGGGCGCGGTCCCGCTCCGCCGCCGCCGCCGCCTCATTAACGGGGCCGGGGGCAGCACCGGGACCCCGCCGGCTCTGGGGCACAGACTGCCACGGCTCTGGGGCACGGA